GGGCTCCGCACAGACATCACCCGGTGTGGCCCGGGGAGGAGCCGGGGCCAAGGGTGTGCTCGCGGCCAGATCACAAGGGAACAGCTAAGGGAAAGTAGCAAAAGTTTTTTGGGGAAGGGAGAGTAACAATTTGTTCTCCAGAAGAGGTGGTGGCATGCCAAAAAATTAAATCCTCTGGAAAAGCTTGGGGAACCCTAGTTCAGAGGCAGCTGATTGTATTCCCTCTGCCTGGAAAGAAATTTTCTGCTGTATATCCATGCAAGGGGATTCTTGGTGCTTTCTTCCTCAGCTGGCCTTGCTCACACTTGCTGGGCATACAGCCTGTGCTGATGGGCTCTCAGCACTCCTTGCCGCAGCAGGGCAGAGCAGCGAACATGGAAGAGAAAATTGCAGCCTGCAGCTGCATTCCTTAGGCGGTGTTTCTGGGCTGTCCTTGCCTGCCAGACTTCCTTCACGCTGGAAGCTGCCCGGCAAACCCTGGGGCGAGAGCACCCTCTGGGGACCAGGAGAGATGTAAGCAATGAGACTCGACTCTTCTCAAACCACTTCTTTTCACATTGACTTTGCATTTTAAGTGCATTTCATGATGGTGATGGGTGCTAGCTAGCTCGCCCAGAAAGAGGACCCTGCTGGAGAGGGCTAGTTTGCCACAGCACGTCTCTGTTACTACGGGACAAGCTGTCTGCGCCTCTCCGGAGAGAGCAGAAGAGACCTCAGGGTATGCAGCAGCCCTAGAGTTTGTAGAAAAAGCAAGGTGTCACTTGACAAAAGTCACACTCTTTAGGGATGACAAGAGGCCGTGTACAAAAGAGACTTTTCTGCGTACCCGATGGTATCGTCCTTGCCATTGCGGCAGGGGAACGTGCTGATGGGAACACAGTGCCGGCGGGTGCCTCTGCTGCCTTCCACCGTATCCGCGGTGCGCGGCGGGCACACAGCCATCGGGTCCTGGAGGGGAGGGCGTTAGCAGAGGGTGACTGTAATCACTCATCTTCACATCTACCTCAAGGCAAGAGAGCTAGCAAAAAAAAAGATTTCTAATTGCAACAGGAAATTCCCAAGTTTGACAGCTGAGAACATTTTATTTAAGTTACTATCTCCTACACTGAATATAGTCTTAGTTCTGAAGCGGCAGCTGCCTCCTCTTGCCTGTCATGCGCCTCATGACTCACTGCAAAGGGGACCTGAACAGGAGGTGGTAGGAGGCAGGGAGAGAAATACTGCTTTACAAGGCAGACATGCAGACCCAGTAAAACCGCAGTGTAAAAAAAATCCCGCACAAGCATAACAAGATAATAAAAGAGTTGTTTTAAACAATTTTTATTTGCTAGTCCATGCCTATTTATGAGGAAGACAGCTCTCATCACACTGAGCCAAAGACACTCTAGAATTCACATGCCATTGTAGACATTTTTAGCACATTAATACCACAGTGGCTGGAAGCTGAAATGGGTGGTATCTGCTGATGTGCTTCTGCCCTCAAAGAAGAGAACATACCGATCCTTTCAGGGAAAATGAGAAGAGATGATTTTTGTGGGAAATGCTGCTTTGCATCGGTGGGTTGATGGTCTAAATGGTTGATTCATTGTGTCCATAGGCTTGACCCTGACAGAGATGATAGATCCTGCTTGAAGACTTCTGCATTTTCTGAGCTGTAATGTTGAGTTCTAACATAAATCAATGCAAATGTTGGTCTGTTCGCTTACCTGCTGATACCTCGTGTAAGAGCTCTTCTGAGCCCTTCCCATGCTCCCTCACTTTGCTTTTTCCTGCTGGTTCAGATCTGAGGCCCTCCTTCACAAATGAGACCTCTCTCACACTGTCTTAAAATCCCTAAAGACATAAAATCATAGAGTCATAGGGTTGGACGGGACCTTTAAAGGCCATCTAGTCCAACCCCCTGCAGTGAGCAGGGACATCTTCAACTTGATCATGTTGCTCAGAGCCCCATCCAGCCTGACCTGGGATGTTTCCAGGGATGGGGCATCGACCACCTCTCTGGGCAACCTGGGCCAGTCGTTCACTACCCTCATTGTGAAAAATGTTGTCCTTATATCCAATCTAAATCTGCTCCCTGTAAAACCATCACCCCTTGTCCTATCGCTACAGGCCCTGCTAAAAAGTCTGTCCCCATCTTTCTTACAAACCCCCTCTCACCCCGGCAGCTGCAGGAAGGTCTCCCCGGAGCCTTCTCTGCTCCAGGCTGAGCCCCCCCAGCTCTCCCA